TTGAAGATACCTACATCGGATGATTGCGACCTAATGGTAGTAGAGCGCGTCCTTTATTTCCAACTGACTTTTGGAACGTTCATAACAGAACAAAAGCTTCATTAATGAGAACAAATAATTCATCTGAAACGTGAAATTGACGCATTGGCGTAGCACTAGTGTGTAGTAGTGTAGCACTATATTGCAGTTTATTAACAATAATTAATTATGTTCTTTAAAAACTTTAAGCTAAAAAAAAGCTCATTTTGAGTTATGTGCGCAAGTGTCCGTGCATAACAACCTGGTGCGTAAGATTCCTGTGCGAAACATTCCTCGTGCGTAAGGTACCCGTGCGCATGATTCCGTGCGCAAGAATCCGTACGCAACATTGTTCGTGCGCATCGTTCCGGAATCCGAAAAATAGAATTGAATTTTATCGTAAAATACTTGCCCTGAATTTGGCATATGAGCATCTTCACCAAAACTCATGTTTATTATATCAACTTCATAGTCAATACAATATTTGATCTAAATACAAAATTTTACATCATTATGTTACTGAATATTAGATTAATTTTATTTTCTCGTTTTTTTTTTAAAGAATATATTCCAAAAATGTGAGCTACGTACAGCTCTAACGAGTGATGGTATTGTTTCCATGGTCGATAGTCGATGATCTCCGATATTAATGGATAACAATTGTGCGCCAGGTGCTACACCATTCTGTTCTGTAGAATAATCAAAATAGCCAGCAGCTATTGTCGCAACATGTGTACCGTGAGAACCTTGATACAAATCAACAATATTAAAAATACGAAAAATAATCAAATTTTAATTTACTTCCAACAACAACAATTTCGAGAACATTTATATCTGGATGGATTCGGACATTATACGTAACCATATCTAAAATGATCAAAAAACAAAAAAAGAATTGAGTTTTGTGATTCTCAATATTAAATTATCTCATAACTTATAGTGAAGAAAATATTTTTGTTGTAAGTAAAATTGACAGACTTTTCTAGTAGTACTTACGTCTCATTTCACAGAATTTTCATTCTACCAGTTATCAAATATTGTTGTAGTGTTTATGATAGCATTTATAATACACTTATTTCTTTTTTTTTCTTTTACAAAGACCTGTTGCAAAAATTTTTTTCTAAATAATCAAGTTTCTAATAGTAGAAATTTTCTTGTTAAATTAAAATGGTATAAGAGAAAATACTTTTGACTAGTGTATTTTCATTAGATATTAATAGAAAACATATGTTTTCTCTCGCTAGAAACTCATTGAATAGCTAAAAAACATATATTTTAGATAGATGTAATAATCGTCGGCGATGTCAAATTTCATTTTCTAGTAATATTTCTAACGCTTAATTTTCATCATCAATATACACAGACATACAGAAAATTAATGGTATTTTGGCACTATGGAGTTGTCCAAAACAGATGTCAAGGAACGACTCAAATCAAAATAGTACTTTTTAAGCCTGATCTGACCTCTTTTTGATCTCCTTTATTGTTTCTTATTATTCATATATTGATGTCATATATATTCTACATATGTTGTCTATAGTTGTAGTTGTGACTTTTAAGAAGAGAAATCAGAGATAAGTTAAAATTTTATCTAAGAAAAGTTTAAAAAAACCAGCATTCGAAGAATACAACATCCAAAAACGCTCTTTCAGGATTCTTATCAATAGATACACATCAGTTTACTAAACAGTTAAAAGAGATTTAAAGTTATATTTAGTGAACATCAACTGAGACGATTACAATTTCGTAACTAAGAAACATCCTTTAGTTAGAAAACATTTCATTTTGTATATAAGCTTTTGATCTATAAATATATATCATTAAAATATACCTCAGAGATTCAACATTTTAATGAAGAGTTATGAACAGTTGTATAACTGCAACATGTCAGAGATGGGACAAGGTACAAAGTTTGTCTCGAAATGTTTTTAGCTATGAAAAAGTTATACTGGTAGATGACTGAATATGTCTTTTAGTTTGTTTTTTATTCACTTTACTTTCTTTAGTCGCTTTGTAAGGTACAAGTCGTAAACAACAACAACAACACAATAACGTATTTGACTATATATATATATATGTTAGAGTACAAATGTACGAATTTTTTCGACACAGACACATGCGTAAAGTTATGTGTATTCTCGTGAATGGGACGGGGAGAGAGCTGGGTGAGAGTGAGCCTGAAAAGTATTTCCGTTCTAAAGGGTCACCAATTGCGTAAAGGGAGTAAAGGACTGACGAGGGAACGTATGGGAATGCCCCCCTTAGATTCCAATGATTGATATATGGACCGATAGACCATAGTAAGGTAGTAAATACTCTAAAAGGATTCTTCCCATGACTCTTGAAGACCCGTTTTTCTGAAAAACCAGTTTTTCAGAAACTCTAAAAAATAACAAAACCCTTTCTTTTAATAAGGCATGATTGTAGCCCGCAAATTTCTGATTAAAATGAGACGTCTCTCACCTCCACACGACCTTTCTTTGCAAAGTCAGAGAATTTACGAGAAAAGTCCTAAATGCTCATTGACAGCTCAAAGCTACAGAAATAAGAAGAAATTAATTTAGGGCTCTTGTAAATTCTACAACTTTGCAAAGAAAGATCGTGTACAGCTGGAAGATGTCTCATTTTAATCAGAACTTTATACCCTTTCTCAGCTCTCATACGTGCATACTTGTAAAGGTTGCTCTTATCTTTATCATTTCCTCTGTAGTGAAATAGTGTACTTCGTAGTTTCTGTGATTAATGAGCAAAACTTTCAAATTTGAACGTAGAAAAATAATGTACTCCGTCAAACGCACTGAAATTCTTTCGTTCAAAATTGTTTTGAAAAAAGTATACAAGTCAAACATGGTGATCACACCAGAATGAATATAACTTTGACATTCACTATTACTGCGATTGTTTATTTGATTACTGTCTGAAGAAGTAGAGCGGCTAACTTCTGTTATATGAAACTATAAAAACGGGTTTCTTGTACAAAGATAAAATTTAACTACTAGGCTTCAATTAATTGCATCAGTTATTCGAAAGTGAGAAATTCTTTTACTGCTTTTTGAATAAAAGATTTTTTTTCAATATCCAAACAAAGAAAAACGAGGACAAATCGGATGTCAAATTTATACTGCAAAATTGTCAAACAATTTTCTACATACTGCCAGCGCATCCGAATATCGCGTCTGTACATCTGGTTAACAATACTATTTTACCATAGAACATATTTATCGATTGCGCAAATAATCTCACCTGTAACACCAAATGTTGAATGAGTAAATGATTCGAAATAATTTGATAATACTTTACATTGATCTAAATCACCACATTCACTTGTATCGAGACAGGCACTAGAATAAATGAAAATTATATTTTTCTAAATAGATTTATTTCTATAAATTGAAAAATTACTTACATCCATTTTTCTCCATCATTCCATACAATACAATCTATAAATGGTCCATTATCAACATATTTTTTTTCAATTTCTTTTAAACTATCTACAAATGCTTGTAATTCTTCACGTTGAAGTTTTTGATCCTTAATGAAGATACAAAATATTTGAATATTTTTTTTTTATACATATTTAATTTTAATTTTACTTCATTTGGTGTCAAATATTTATTAATATGTTCATCTAATTTACGTTGTGCATTTGCTATAGCTACACGATGTTCAGGATCAAATAATTTCTCTCGTCGTTCTTTCTAAATAAATATTTGTACACAAGAAAATAAATAGAATATTTTCTTTCTAAAAGATTTTATACCGCTACACGTTCAAATGCAGTTGATGGAAAAAATTGTTTTAAACCTTTAATACCTAAATGATATTCACCCGATGGATTTTTCCATGACGTAGGAATCTAAAGAAAAATGTTTACAATAATATTTCTATATATTTTATCTACTATAATTTACTTTTAATTTTTTGCCCGATATTCCTATGATAGTGCCATCTGTTTCATCAATTGTTTTTATTGTTGAAATATCAACATCTGCACTACCTGTACTATCACGTAAATCAATTATTTTCGCAGCACCAGTACTTGTAATCTACAAATATAAAAAGACTAAATAATCTATGAAAGACAATTTTACTATTATTTTACCTGTAGTCCTTGCACACTTGGATCCATTCCCGTATCGATAATAGCAATTTTAACGCCTCGTCCATCATACTCAGGATATTTTTGAATAAAATTTAATGCACCCGTTTCACGTCTTGGTAAACATCCACCTATGGGAAATATTAGATCACTTCGAGATGGCTCATATGACATGTTTTAGGTGTCTGAAGAATGATGACAAGAGAAATGACCCCCCTAAAACTTCTCTATTCACAATCTAGAAAAAAAAAAATAAGAAAAGATTTGAAAAAGATTTTGAATTAATATTAAAAAAATATCAGAATAAACATGAAACAATATTCATCTTGTGTCTCACTAAAAAAATGACAACAAACCAAACAGAAACAAGTCAACATTCCGAAATAATAGAAGAATCATTAATTTTCATGTAACGGTATAGATTAAAGTTAATATTTATCATTTTTTTCTCCTATATATATATTTTTCAGATTAATCAACACGGTAGAAGTGATCTTTAGTGGAAGACGAGGATGTATTTGACTACAGATATGATTTATCTAAACAAAATATATAAATAATAATTTGTTCACAAGACACATTGAAAACTCGTACCAGACATAATATGTTAGTGAAAAAATTTGATTTGAAAGAACAAAAGAAATTTGCAAAAAAAGCTTTTTTTTTTATTCTCCCGATTAGGCATACAACGATATTTATCAATGATAAATTGGTTTTTTTTTTCCACAAAACGTTTTTTTTGTAGTACAAAATAATCTTTAAGAATCAAAATTTGTTCAACAACTAGGTTCTAATGAGCAAACATTTGAGATATGACAATACTTTCACTAGTTAGATAAAAGATAACCGATACCGGTTAATAGCAATTTATGGTTCTTTGCCAAAAAGCTGCTCTGTCCTGCCGGACAAGACGATATATTTTTGGTGAGGGAATTCCTTGATTTGCGACCTGCGAGAGATTGATTTCTGAGATTTCCAAGCTTCTGCTTAAGTAAAATTTTGAGATCGAACAACGAAGATAACAGCGGTTCTTCAATTCTGTTTTCTTTTTTACAGTGTATGAGCCATGATTAAAAGACAAACTGCTATTGGCTTAACTCTATATCTAATAACCTGATTAACAAAATGAAAGAGAAAGTAGACGAACTAACAATAAGAATAGCCGCAACGATAGCTAGATTTTTCTTCTGATCTTCTTCAGCTGCAAAGGAAAATAGTGATGAGTTTTTTGAAGATAAAGTCTTCCAGGTTAAGGAGAAAAACTTTCTTTTGCGCTACAGGCCGTCCTGCCCAGCTAGACAGGGTAGGACAAGGTCAAAAAAATTTTATGACAGGGCAGAGCGAAAAAAGTTGCCCTGCGATGGTCGCCGTTGTGGCAAAAGAAAAAAGAGATTGAACAATATTGTCATGTCTCGTTTTGTAGCAAAATGTTTGCTGTACAAAACTAATTTGTCAAAAGACTTTAATATTGTGTACTTTGTAATCAATTCGATTGAAAAAAAAGAGCAAAATATATCGGTAAATATTGATGCATGCCTATTCTTAGTATATAAGCGAGTTTCTTGTTCAAAACTTCAAAGATTAAAGATTACTCAAACAAACATTTTAAAAAATTGAATAAATCATTTTCCACCTATAACAAGTTAAAAAGAAAGAAAGGTCGATACGTAATACTTTATTTATAATAATGTACATACGACAATAAAAAAAAATTGTTAAATTGATTTTTCCGCTTCAGTACTCTCGTCTTTCAATTCTCTATATATTTATCATGTACTGCACTATTTCAGACAAACTAATACTCGCCTACTCTAAATTTTAGATTACGTAAGTATATTAATGTTAATAAATTTGTTTTTAAACTAATAAAGTAAAAACAAAGTCAAATTTGATATAAGATATTGGAAATGCAACCTTGCAGTAGGATTTTTTTTTCTCGTTTTTTTACATATGCTTGGATAGAGCACATCGAGTTGAATAAGAAAAACTGGTTTTTAATTTTTTTAAGAAAAAAATTTTGAAAAACCTTTCAGTTCTCAAGAAAAATTCAAATATTTTTCTTTTTCGTTCCTTTAACATTTTGAAAGCGTTTTTTTCACATTCAACATCAAAAACTGGGTATGAGAATGATGTTTGATCGAGGTTGAAATCATGGCTTTAGAAATCAAACATCATTCTTATTCTCAGTTTTTGACGTTGAATGTGAAAACAACGAACGGTTTCAAAATGTTAGAAGAACGAAAAAGAAAAATATTTGAATTTTTTGAGAACTGAAGGGTTTTTCAAAATTTTAGACTCTCCCATTTTTTTCGTAAAAAAATTAAAAACCAGTTTTTCTTATTCAACTCGATGCAACTCCTATCCAAGCATGTGTAAAAAAAACGGGAAAAAAAAAATTCTGTTTCAAGTTTGCATTTCCGACACCCTATGTATTTCTTTTATTTTTAAAGCAGGATATTGAAATGTGTACATAATTTTTATAATAATAATAATACCGAAGAGAAGAAAAATCTTGTTGTTAGAATACTTAATGAGAAAAGAAAAAAAAAGAAAATGAACTTCTATGTACATATGTTCATAACGCGATACGCATATTATGTAAAAAGAAAACGGAATAGAAGACAAAATAGAAACAAGAAATCTGTACTACTATTCCAATTGTATGAATATTTAGCAAAAAAAGTAAAAATTGAATACTTTATTAAATATAGTAGAAAGCGTAAATATTTAGATAAACGCACATTCTATCTAAAGGAAAATTTGTTCCTTTGTCCCAAATCATTCTACATACAGAAAATATTTTTGAGAATAAAGAGATCATTTATATATAACGTACACTTTCCAGGAATTTTATGAACAAATTTTCTGTTTTCTTCCAAGTGAAATGAAATTATATTTCACTAAAAAATAAGTCTATTGATTTTTTGAAAAAGAGAGAGAGAGAGAGAGAGAGAGAGAAAGAAAGGACACAGTATATGTACGAAGAAAAACAACTACATACAGGTACTCCAGTTGTAAGATAAACATTATTGTAATAATTTTGAGAATGAAATGAGATAAGCAACAATCAGGGAATTTTGAGAAGCATTAAAAATAATCCGATGACAGAAAAAAAAAGAAACACATGTACGTGCGCTTATATTTATTTATTATACTGTTTTGCACACGATAAGAAGATAAAAGCACCATCGGGTACAGGTTTTTGTTCAAAAGAAGGTATATATACACATACACACACACACACACCGGAGTTTCATGGTTTGATAGAAAAAAAGAAGAGTTTATGATGCCCATCTTGTTAATTCGTCTAAATCGGCTTCAACTCTAACTTTTGATGCTGGTTGTTGATAACTACTAACTGGTATGGGATGTAAGGGTACAGATGGCAAGGTAATTTGTTGCATTTCTTTGGCCAATGATTCTTGTTCCAAAGCAGCTAATTCATCTTCTAATTCACGATCATCATATTCTGTACCGAAGCCTAAAAATAGACAAATATCAATAGATTTTTCTTTTATTTATAATCTATTGTTATTAAACAGCGTATATTTTCTTATTCTTATATAAACTAATTCAAATCAAATAGATTAATTACTTACCAATTGGATTCGATATAGCATTGGCAATTTCTGTTGATAATCCATGTTGTTCAGCTAAATCATCCATAATATCTTGTACACTGTCTATATTCAATTCTTTATGAACATTTTTTAATGCATTTGTAGCACCTTGTAAAGCACTAAACGCTTGACCATTCATCGATGCATTCTAAAGAATAAAAACATCATACATATATATTAATTGAAAAAAAAAAAGTTGTTGAATGTTTTCTCTATATGAAAAACTCCATTCTTTCAATTTATATTGATAGTTTTCTTTTTGAAAAATAATTTTTTCATTATTAATACCTGTAATGCTTCTCTTTGATATTCTAATGTTGTTAAAGTTCCATCAATTTGTTGTAATTGTTTTTCTAAACGTTTTTTTCGTTTTAATGCCATTAATGCATTTCGTTTATTAGTTCTTGCATCACGTCTTGCTCTCTCTGTTTCTTCATTTATTTTTCCTTCTAAAAATTCGACTTTTTTCGTTAATACATCTTCAACATCTCTCAATTGTTGTATAGCTTCTTGTGGTGTATTCGCTTTTTTCGATTGTCCACCTTTTGCTGTACCACCAAATATTCGAGATACAAAATTTTTACCACCTTTTGAATCACTCATTTGTTAAGAAATAAATAGCAAAAATAAGAGAAATAGTTAAGTGAGATTTATCTAAAACGATTTAATACAAATGTTACGTATTACTAGAATATTTGAAATGATGGTGAACTATTTTAATTTCGAAAACATAAGTATTGCAGAAAGAGTTTATCTCTTCGGGATAAAAAAATGAATAGTACAAAATTTTAAAATGTTGAATTAACTCTACTTGTTCAGTGAAGATATTTAAAGTTCTTCGAAAGGTAATGATAATACAGTAAGATTTATCACTTAAAGATATAATATGAAATGAGTTATTATGCTATGAGTAAATATGACGCATGATTTTTGATGACGTCAGACAGTACAAAAGTACATAGAACCTCAGATTTCTGCATAATATATATTTAAATCATCAATATTTACTTTAATAAGAAGAGAATAACTCTATGCATTTTTCTCATTCATATATTGTATTCAGAACAGAAAACATGAAAAGTAAAATTGATTTTATAATAAGTTTCGTTTTTCTAATTAATAGACTTAATGTAGTAGATCCATATCCAGAAAACAGACTCTTATCTTTCTAATTCTAACATTCAAATTTTGTACTAGAAAATATTTACTATTTCATCTCACCGATAAACACAAGACATGTCTTTAAACAGTTTTTAATCGTAGACTGAATCATAGCAGAAGAAAAGAACAAGCCAATGTTCCTATGTAAACAAAATACTAAAAGCGTAATTAACGTGCAAGTGTTGAAGGACAATACGGACAAGTGTCTTCTTTTTCAAAAAAGTTCTCTGAATCGACTATTTTAGTATAGGTTAAAAAAAAACCGATGTGCTTCTTCTGAGATACATAATAAACAATTTTAACCACAATTCCACGTTTTTCTCATTAATTATATGATCAACATAAAGTTCTTTCAATAGAAAAATATATAAATTATTTATTTCTGCAATAAAAAAGAGCAAAAAAATAAAATTAAATCAACAAAAATATTAAAAAAATAAAGAAAAATATTTAAATGTTGTAGTTAATTAAAAGGACGGTACAAATTCATTGTATCTTAATTTTATTTTACGTAAACAATACATTTTGAAAAAAGCGATAGATAACAAGTAAAAAAATAATTGATTCAGATTGCACAAATATCCATGAACATATACAAGTAACAGTTGAAAATGTTCATATTTGACAAGAAAAAGAAAAAACAAACAAACAACTAGTGGTACAAAGAACAAAACGACGTAAAAATCATCATGTGGTTTATTTGATTGATTGCCTTTTTATTTTTGTTTATCATTCTGTTTTATTTACGTTGCCCATTCTTCTAATAGTGATAAATCATCATCTAATGCTTTCTGATTGCCCATGGCAGGTAATGTTGTGTTCGGCACATTTGGTAGTGGACCAATATTTATCATATCTTTTTGATCTTCATCTCCAGCTAATGCATTTAATTCGCGTTCCAATTCATCATCATCAATATATTCTAAATTTCCTGTAAAAGGTGTGGATATCGCTCTGGCAATTTCTTCAGCTAAAAAAGCACAACAAAATAAAATAATTGAATAATATTAGAATCCAAAACTTACATCAGCTGTACACACCCTATGATATGTTCGTATTAACGCATACAGAGATAAGAGGAGATATAAAAACGAGAAGACATACCACAAAATTACACTGAGATAGTTGGTAGATAGAATTTAAAACGCATTTACTTTTGAACCCAAGGGGAAAATAAAAAAACGATTGAGAAAAATAGTCCAAGAAAAAAGAACGAACAAAAAAAAAACTAGCGGTAAGATTTTAACAAAACCATATTTCTTTTTTGATAAAACATTTTGGTGGTGATGAACTAACACATTGACAAAAGTGCGCTAAAAAATATCGAGCTTTGCGTTTTAGATATAACAATCGATAAAACCCTGGTGGTTGTAAATGTTTCATTCATGCTGATATCTTATTTCAGACTGATTTATTAGCAGTAAATCATGTTTTACGCAAAGAACAACATCGTATTACTGATTTGATGGTGTTGAAATTTCAACGAGCGAAAGCAGCAAGAGAAGCAGAAGTAGAACATATACACAAAACCTTTAACTTGACGTAATTAAAAGAAAGACTGTCCAGGTGAGCTTCCATCACCTTTTTCAGCACTAGGTGGTACCTTTTCCCATTGAGCATATCTCAGTAACAAGCACAGTAATAGTCTACGGTCATTCCAAATGACAGTAAACGGTTTGTATAATTATTTCATGCTTTTTTGTTCTCTCTTTTTTTACCTGTTTCATTTTGTTCAGCCAAATTGTCTATCAAGTTGTGTACTGTGTCAACATCTAAATTCTCATTTGTTTTTTTTAATGCTCCTGCAGCATTTTTCATCACTTTTAATACGTCCACATTTGTTGCTGCATTTTGCAAATGTTCACGCTGTGTCTCGAGTGTTACCAATGTACCGTCCAATTGCAGCAACGTTTTTTCATATCGTTTTTTTCGTTTTAAAGCATTCAATGCTCCACGTTTATTCGATGCCTTTGAACATTTAATTGCATTCTGCTTTTCTTCTTCAACTTTTGTTTCTAAAGAATGAACAAAACATCAATAATCTTATGAATGAATAATACTGAGAAAAAAACATGATCGAAAAACCATCGACTTTTTTTTTGTGAAGAACGGCTCTAGTGGAACTTCTTGTAAGCAAGATCTTGATTTCTTGAATTTTTCAGTAAGATCTTGATTCAAGATCTTCATACGAAAATGTAAGAATTCAAAATCCTGCAAGATTTTGAATACAAGGTACAACATGTTCATGAACATCTTGTACCAAGATCTTGAGCAATTGAATCATTATTTTGTTCTACACTATGTAGATATAAGCGCGAATATTTCCATACTTAAAATAACTTCAAATTTTTTTCCTTCTTGGCCATAGTTGTTTAGGGAAGAGCTATAATACTATATGGTCGTGTATCTGATGGCTATGATTGTCATAAATGCAATCAAAATGTAAAGAAAATTTTCCACTTAAGATCTTGCAACACTGGAATGGATCCGATCAAGATCTGAAGTGAAAGATTCAAGAATCCAAGATCTTGACTTCCTGGTGTTTTCTCCAAGATCTTGTGACATTTCTTAACCCAAGATATTGATCAAGATCTTGGATACAAGAAGTTTTACTAGAGGGTACTGTAACTATGTCGATCATCATCTAAGCTAACCTAATAATTCTACTTTTTTATTTAATAAATCTTCGACATCTTGTAAACGTTCTATGGCATCTTTGGATGATATCTTCGCTTCTTTTTTTAAGCCAAAATCAAATAAACGCTGAAATGCACTTAGTGGCATTTTCTGGAGAAAAAAATCTGACACAAAAGATATATGAAAAAATAAAACTATACAAAAGATGTTTTAGAAAATCTAAAACATACATATTCAACAAGTCAATAAAATTTCCAATCCATCAGCCGTTATTCTTACTATGAAGAAAACAGATTTTAGAAAACGCTCACATCTGAACAAGAAAAATACTTCGCTCATCAAAAAGTATCAGGATGTTATTCAATCAATATTAGTTCATGAGCTTGACCGCATATTCAAATCAATATTTAGTTTGTTTTAGCATGTCATTGTCCAGCATTGATTTATGACAATTCTTAAATAATGTAAGATTCAGTCGTGATATTTGTGTGCACTTCAGTTTAAAACTGCTACTTGAGATTATTGGTAAAATAATACCCTACCCGGTTATGTTTCTTCTCTTTCTTTCGCCCTCCACAACAATCTTTTGTCATGTAGTCTGTCTCTCAGCTTGACGATGAATTAGCGGCTTTGGAACAAGAATCATTGGCCAAAGAAATGCAACAAATTAACTTGCCATCTGTACCCCTACCTGTCAGTAGTTATCAACAACCAGCATCAAAAGTTAGAGTTGAACCCGATTTAGACGAACTGACAAGATGGGCATCATAAACTCTTATTTTTTCTGTCGAACCACAGAACTCCGGTGTGTGTAAACCTTCTTTTGAAATAGCTGTACCTTACGGTACTTTTTCTCAAGAAACTTTTAAAAATTTGAAAAAGAAGCTACCTTAAATGACTAATTAATTTTATAGACACTAGTAAAAGATAAAAAAAAGAGAAGTAGATCTAAAAGACAGCTATATTTGGGTTATATGATTCACATGTCATGTGACATAATGATATCACTCTTACCTTTGGAGAAAAGAAATTTCTCTAAAAAAATTTCTCTAAAAATTGACTACATTTTCCTGTAATATAAACAACCTTCTCTCTTATCGACTTTAAAATATCTGCATATATTGCTTTTTTATAGTTAGTTAAGTTTTTTGTAGAGGCCATTACTAGGATATTAAACAAGACGAACACTAAAGGGAGTGGAGAACATAACAGAATAGAGATATCAACTAACATCAGAATATCTTGTTGTAATACAACGTCAGACTGTTTTATTAACAAAATACTACAATGGTGTGTATATAACTCACAGAAATCACGTGCAGATAGCACAAAATATGTTAATCCTTTCCGCTGTAATTACAGAACATCAAGTAACCGGAGAGTGTAAGATAGAGCCCATACGTGTTACATCAGATAATCTTATGAACTGAATTTTTTAATTCACTCATTAATTCTCTTCTCAGTTTAGAGAGTCAGTTGGAAAAAGGAATAATACCTCCTCGCGGCTACATTTGTCAGTGTAAGGTACTAACACGTGACTGTTTCAATACGTCGATGCCTGTTCTACAACTGACATGCTTGCAATTTTTCGTTAGACGAAACGAGTCGAGGAACAAAAACCAGAGAGACTTTTTAAATTGTCTGGCGAGATAAAGCAAGGCAGCTTAAAAAAGAGTTTGACTAAACGAGACGAGACGAAATTCGTTCTTTCTCGGCACATCATATGAAAAAATATAGATAAAGTGAAACAATGTTTTACTATTTATATTGTATTGCTTGCTGTAACTAAAAACATTCGGGTACCGAAAACTGACTGGAATTGTACATCGTCGAAGAAATATTTGTAATTTCGTTCAACGTTTGTTTTTATATTCTTTTTAAGCCTATGAGTGCTGTGACTCCAACATCGGCTGGCTCAAACGGATCAAAGAAAAATAATTTCCGTTACCGTACAGTGAACTGTCAATCGACGGTCGATGAAACATTATTTGGCACACCACATCGAGTAACAACAGCTGCAAGAATGAGAGCAGAAAAACAGCAGAATAATCAGCGTACATATTTGCTAATATTGATGATGAGACGCTAATATTTTTGTCTACTTTTTTTTCTTTTGTTTATTTCTAGAACAAAATTCTGATCATCCGTCGAATTGTCCCGAATCCTATACTCGTCCAACAAAAAATGTTGGTCCATATAAAAAAGAATATGTTCGACATATAACAAAAGATCTTATCAGAGATATCATGTAAGCATTTATTCATTAAAACAGGACATCTAAATGAAGTCTATGTTTTTCCTCAACACAGAGTTCCTGAAGACCCTACCGATACGTCTGTGATTATTGACGCAGCTACGTATCAACGTTTAACAAGTGCTGCTAAATTTCAACCGAAGTTAATACGAGAGCAAGAACTTCAACAATCAAAACAAAACAGAGAATGCGTTGAGGTAAGTGGATCCATGTATGAACTACGACAACATCTTTTTGTAAAGTTTTTATAATATTATTTTCTAGGAAGAGCTAGAACGTCGTAAAAAAGCAATGCAAGAATATGATTTGAGACGTAAGAAAAATACTCAATTAGAAGATGTTGATCAAGAGGCAAAAGAAGAGGCCGAGTATATGCTTAAACGTGCGAACGAATTAAGACAAGAACAAGAAGATGAAGTCAAACATTTAAATGAGGTACATAATAATAAATACTTTTTTACAAACGGCTGATAAGACAACAGACTGAACAAAATATTGGACAAGGCAGTAGTTAAAGTAAAATACACAGTGTAAGGCAATTTTTACAATGCATAAAGGATTTATATAAACATGTCAGAGCTGGGTATGAACTTGAAATTTTGAGTCTAGTCCGGACCCAGTCAATTGAGTAAATAGTCGAATGGACTTTGTAATTGCCAGTCTTGTGTTTAATCAAGTGTAATGGATATGATTTTTATTGATGAGTTTCAAGCAAAGCTGTTTGCATCTTCTAAAACTGGTACACACAAAAGTGTTAAAATCTGTTCATGTGCTCACGAAACACATTTGTACTATTGTATAAAAACAAAACAATAAGAAATAGAAACTAAAAACAGCACGTTATTTTTTTCCGGATGAAAAGGCGTTTTTCGGAATTTTGCAACGCATTACTTTCGAGTTAAAAACGTTCAAAAAACGTTCAAACGTTCTAGAACGCGTTTCAGATGAAACATTTAACGCATTTTTTCATCGTTAAAAACGGAATAAAAGCGCGTGAGAACAGAAAATTTTGGTAAAGCCGGAGGTGAGACTTGGCTACTCAGTAGGACTTGATCTAAAAATAATTGAAAGTCTAATAAGGGAAATACAAAACTGATGATCTAAACTAAAAAAGAACGAAAAAAAGATGATATTTCTTCGATTGTGCTTATATACTCGGCTGATCGCAAAACAAGACGGCGAATGCCCAGGGCTAAAAAAGTTGACAAAAAAACGCGTTTTATTTTCGTTTTTAACAACCAAAAACTGCGTTAAATGTTTCAAAACCAACTCGTTTTTCTTTTATCTATTCGTTTGAAAAGGCAGTTTTTGGTATTAGCGAACGATCGTTAAAAGAGCCGTTTAAACGCGTTTTTTGTCGTTCAAAACTTTAGAATAACGCGTTTGCTAACGATCGTTAAATTAACCGTTTTCTGGCGTTTTTGTTGAACACGTTTCTAACGACGTTAAAATGGTATAACTTCGTATTCTTTTTTTTGTAAACGCATTTTGAAACGACACGTTAAAACGCGTTTCAACGGTCATTTTAACGTAGTTAGAAAATGTGTTAAACCCAGAAAACGATTAATTTAACGATTATTAGCAAACGAGTTATCTAAAAACGCGTTTAAACGGTTTTTTAACGATGGTTCGCTAACGCGTTCGAAAAAAACGCGTTTTTCGTGTCATTTCTTACGATTTTTTTCGCCTGAGAACTAAAGTTTTCAATAAAGTTAAGGTCAAGGCTAACATTTGCCGACTTGACTATACGATATTTAATTGCTGAGATGCAACAAGACTTCGTAGGAATTGTATAGTTTGAGTCGTTGAAGAAAACGGTGAATGGAATTGGCACAAGAGTCCCGTCGGGATTTTGCATAATATCACTGCTGTAAAAGAAAAGCCAGATCCCAGTACGACTTTAAAAGTTTACTGAAAATACTATCTTGATGCGAGTCCAGCGCAACTTCATGACCCGAGCACAATCGCATTAAGAAAAAATTGTCGCATCACGATCGTAAATTCAAAATTTTTGAAAAATAAGAGTTGGTCGCAATCGCACTGCGACAATAGCGAGTTTTTTAGCGATCGCAGAGCGAGAACCGAGTACGAGCCGCGAATGAAACAAGAAAGTCGACTTGGATTGCGTAGCTGTAAAATAAACTTCATTCAGATTAGAATGAAATAATCAAATCTCGGATTCTTCTCTAGACTTGTTTAGAATTTTTTTATTTCTTTTTCTTCTTTGTTAGTGTCATCATGTGTTTCTTCTATTTTAAATATCATCAGACGAACTATTTCATACGTTCATTTCCCATGTAACTTGGGTGCGTCTGAAGAAACGCGTTTAAACGCGTTTCGATCGGAATAGACGCGTCTAAACGCGGGTATTTTGGGGAAAACTTAGCAAACGCGTTTAAACGCGCCTCATACGAACGCGACTAAACGCGTTTTTGAACTTCTGCTTGAAAAAACGCGAAATGGCGCGTTTTATATAGTAGTTATAAAAAAACGCGTCTAAATGCGGCTATACTAAGCGCGTCAGAACGCGTCTGAAAAACTCTGGCAAAAACAACGCGTCTTAACGCGTTCTTTTAAGTACAGTACCTCTAACGCGGCTAGACGCGCTACAATATGACGCGTTTAACCGCGACAATTCAAACGTTTATGCAAAAGCGCGTCTAAACGCGACTTTACAGGTCGTTGCCTTAGATGCGTTTAAACGCGACATATTACGCCACGTCAAGGCGCGTCTGTTACATTTTGTTTCAATAAACGCGTCCAAGCGCGCTTGAGAACTACTTTTCACTTTTGACGCGTTCAAATGCGTCATATTACAACGCGTCAAGGCGCGTCTGTTACATTTTGTTCCAATAAACGCGTCCAAGCGCGCTTGAGAACTACTTTTCACTTTTGACGCGTTCAAATGCGTCATATTACAACGCGTCAAGGCGCGTCTGTTACATTTTGTTTCAATAAACGCGTCCAAGCGCGCTTGAGAACTACTTTTCATTTTTGACGCGTTCAAATGAGTCATATTACGACGTGTCAAGGCGCGTCTGTTACAA